CCTACATCAAAAGGTTGCAAGTTTGCCCTAGCCAGGTTGGCTCAGTGGATAGAGTGTTGGCCTGCGGACTGAAGCGTCCCGGGTTTGATTCCAGTCAAGGGCACATGCCCAGGTTGTGGGCTGGATACCCAGTAGGGGACATGCAGGAGGCAGCCGATCAATGATTCTCTCTCACCATTGATGTTTCTATCTCTCTCTCCCTCTCCCTCCCTCTCTGAAATCAATAAAAATATATATTTTTTGAAAAGGTTGTGGGTTTGATTCCAGGTTAGGGCACATTTCTGGGTTGTGGGTTCGATATCTGGTTGGGGAGTGTATGAGAGGCAACTGATAGATGCTTTTCTCATTCTCCCTTTCTAAAAGCAATAAAGACATATTTTTTAAAAAATAAACAAAAAAAAGGAAATGAGGAAGTAATCAAAACAGCACACTAAAAGGGAAAGCAATCAATGAAACACAAAAGAAGGCAGTAATGAAGGGATTGAGGAACACAAATTATAGAAAAATCAAATAGCAAATGACAGAAAAAGTCCTTCCTCATCAGTGGTCACTTTAGACATAAATGATTTAAACTATCCAATTAAAAGACAGGCATTAGCAGGATATAGTTTTAAATATGTTTTTTATGGATTTTAGAGAGAGAGAGGATGGGAGCCTTTGGAAAGTCCCTGTTTGTGGGTCACAGTATTCATTCCATGAGGATTTTGAGCATAGCAATACCACCTTCTGTAGATACTCTTTGGACAAAGTTTCTAGCTTGCTATTGACCCTATTTGAGGGTCCTTCTTTTACTCTTTCTGAATACTCCTCTTAAAAGTTAATAACTATCCTGAATTCTAATACCAGTGAGAAGGAGAATTCCATAGATTAGATGTTTGTGACCCTGGAAAAGCAAACAAACAAAAGGGGCAATTTGAGACCCCAGGAAAATAAAAAGCTAAGCAAAAAAGTAAATAATTATTGGAAATAATTTGCTTTGTTATGAATTTCCTCATTTTATAAATTTTCTTGTTCATATTATTCAGTTATTTTAAAGACCATGACTATTTTTTTAAAATATATTTTATGTTTTAAATTTTTTTAAATTGATTTCAGAGAGGGAGAGGGAGAGAGGGATAGAAACATCAATGATGAGAGAGAATCATTGATCAGCTGCCCCATGCATGTCCCCTACTGGGGATTGAGCTTGCAACCTGGGCATGTGCCCTGACAGGGAATTGAATTATGTCCTCCTTGTTCATAGGGTGATACTCAACCACTGAGCCACACTGGACAGGCCTAAAGGCCATGACTTTTAACTTCTATGCCTGAATTAGCTGTGGGTCTGCTTCTCTTGTCTACTTTTACCTTAGTTTTGATTCTGTGACTGGTAATTTTTTAATACCACTCTGCATGAGAAATTGTAGGTGCTCTAGATGACTTGTAGTTTCTGACAGGCAATTATAGTAGGGGCAAATTACCTTAACTCAGTTAGCTAATGAGCTAATTCACGGTAGGGTATCAATATTTTAAAGATTTATTCCCACTAATTCCTAGGTAAAGTTCTTCAGAAGATACAATTGAATCTCAGAGGGAATGTGGGGGTGGGTGGGAAGAGATCAACCAAAGAAAGTATATGTATACTAGTGGCCCAGTGCATGAAATTTGTGTATGGAGGGGGGGGTTCCCTCAGCCTAGCCTGCACCCTCTGCAATCGAGGACCCCTCAGGGGATGTCCTGTGTGATCAAGCCTAAACCGGCAGTCGGACATCCCTCTCACAATCTGGGACTGCTGGCTCTTAATTGCTCACCTGCCTGCCTGCCTGATTGCCCCTAACCCCTCTGCCTGCAACCTGATCGCCCCTAACTGCCCCTCCTCCCCCCCCCCCCCCCGCTGGCCTGATCTTGCCCCTGCCCTCCCCTGCCAGCCTTGTCTTGACCCTATCTGCCCTCCCCTGCTGGCCTGGTTGCCCCCAACTGCCTCCCCTGTTGGCCTGATCTTGCCCTCAATGGCCCTCCCTGGCCAGCTTGATCTCACCCCCAACTACCCTCCCCTGATGGCCTGGTTGCCCCTAACTGCCTTCCCCTGATGGCCTGACCTTGCACCCAATGGCCCTCCCCTGCCTGCCTGATCTTGCCCCAAACTGTCCTCCCCTGCCGGCCTGATTGCCCCTAACTGCCTCTGCCTGCCTGATTGCCCCTAACTGCCCTCCTCTGCCGGCCTGATCTCACCCCCACTGCCCTCCCTTGCCGGCCTTATCTCGCGCCCATCTGCCCTCCTCTGTCAGCCTGATCTCACCCACAACTGCCCTCCCCTGCCAGCCTGGTTGTCCCCAACTGCCCTCCCCTGCCTGCTTGATCTCACCCACAACTGCCCTCCCCTGCCGGCCATATCTCGCCCCCATCTGCCCTCCCCTGCCAGCTCGGTTGCCCCCAACGGCCCTCCCCTGTCAGCTTGATCTCACCCCTAACTGCCCTCCCCTGCTGGCCTGATCTCACCCACAACTGCCCTCCCCTGCCAGCCTGTTTGCCCCCAACTGCCCTCCCCTGCCGGCCTGATCTCACCCACAACTGCCCTCCCCTGCCAGCCTGTTTGCCCCCAACTGCCCTCCCCTGCTGGCCTGATATCACCCCTAACTGCTCTCTTCTGCCAGCCTGATTGTCCCTAACTGCCTCTGCCTGTCTGATCACCCCTAACTGCCCTCCCCTGCCAGCCTGATCTTGTCCCCAACTACCCTCCCCTGCAGGCCTCATCTCACCCCCAACTGCCCTCCCCTACCGGCCAATTTGGTTCTGATTGGTCAGTTTCTATGCCAGTCGGTGTCAAAAGCTCTGCCTCCTAGGCAGCCATTGGCTCCTCACAGTTCACCCAGATTTGGTTCTGACTGGTCGGTTTCTATGCCAGTCAGTGTCTCTGGGCCTATCTCCGGGCCTGATCAGAGAGGCGGGGCTGATCAGCAGCCCCCCTGCAGAGGCCTGGAGAGAAACAGAGGTGTGGCTGCTAGCAAAGCCTGGAGAGAAAGAGAGAGGCAATGGCTGGACAACAGCTGCCACAGAGGCTGTGGATCAGACCCTGCCTCTCTCTCCGGGCCTGATCCGCAGCCTCCTCAGCAGTCAGTGCTGGGTCGCTGCACCCTCAGCGGCAGTCAGTGCTGGGTCACCACAGCAACCCAGCACTGACTGCAGGACTGACTTCTGGTGTTTGGTCGAGCCTTCGGTCGGTCGTTCTGGGTTTTTATATATTGGGATATGCATAACCATGGACACAGAATAGTGTGGTGAAGGTCTGGAACAGGGGGTAGGGGGCAGGCTAGAAGGGATCAATGGGGTAAAATAGGAGACATATGTAATTCTTTCAAATATATATATTTAAAAGAGGATCCCTTTGAAAGTCTGTGGTTTTTACCAGAGCCTATCATCACTGGTGGGATCTGAACTTTAAGTTTGATCTCCTTGGCACATAATTCTGTGGAAAGCTCCTAGTTTCTCAGGAACTTGGCTGCTGTGCATCTCTGAATCTGTCTCATGCCATTTACCAACCATTGAGCTCCTTGTGGGAAAAAGTAGCTCAATCCATTGGTCTTATTTTTCTTCACTTCTCTTATCTCAATAGTCTTGCCACTCAAGTCCAACTGTCTTAGCTCAGGGTTTCAGGGTTTCCTTGGATCCTAGAAGCCAACTGCCATTCCTTGCCACATGGATTTTTCTCAGCATGGCTGCTTTCTTCATCAGGACAGCAAAGAAAAACTCTCTAGTCTGCCAAAATGGAGCTACATCCCATCACCTTTGCCATAATCTATTTGCTAGGAGCAAGTCTCAGTTCTGCCCACACTCAAGGGGAGAGCATTATATAGGGCAGAAATTATTGGGGTCACCTGGGGTGTACCTGATAAAATTGCTGACAATAGGACAAGGAAAAGAGGGGAATATGAGCATTCACAAATATCATGGTGAATGAGACTTCTATCTTTCTATTGGATGTCAGAAGTCAGTTTTCTCATTACTTTGTGGTACTTTCAACCATTCATCTCTCCTAACCTATAAAATTTGTTAGCTGATAAATTATGTCACAGGATTTGGTGGTTACAAACTAAAAAACTATGGAGATGTTTTATTTTTATCAAAAAAATAACATTCCAGATATTAAAATAACAGGAAACATATTCTAAAGACGCAAAATACATACTCAAAACCATAGACTCAATCACATGGAAAATGAATAGGCAATACACACATGCCCGCATGCACACACACACACACACACGCACACACACACACACATATGAAAATTAGGTCATTTTTAAGAGAATGATGTCATATATCAAAGACAAAGCTGAATGAGAAAATAAATGGAAAACAGAATCAAGTATATACAAAATTAAACAACTGGTAGTTTCTGGAGAAGACATTTTAAAAATCATCAATAATCCCAATGCCCAAATGATAAATAACTTAATAATTTGGAGTATTTCCTTCCTCGTTTTTTGTTCTTTGTGTCTACCTAGACCTAGACACATACACACAGCCCTAAAATATATTTTAATATAATACAAATATGTTTACTTATATATGTGCATATAATTTTACTCATAATAAAACTGCTATATTTCTACCACCCAGAATCACGTATATAAATGGTGAATATACATCCTCTATGTATTTCTTTACAATGTAAGTCATGCAGTATATTGTTTTATAATCTATTTTTTCACTTAACAGATTATCATGACCATTCCCCCCAAACAGAATAATTCTTAATTGGTACATATTATTCCACCTTTTTGATATAGCTTTAATCAATTGCCCATCATTGAATAATCAATATTTTTGCTATTTTAAATAATATTGCTGTGACGGTAGATACACTAAAAATTAAAAATCTTTCATTGCCTCATAAAATCTTTAATAATAAAAGTGTAATATGCTAATTAGACCGGATGTCCTTCCGGGTGACCTTCTGGACAAAGCCAGGGCTGTGAGGGAAGCCCGGGTACTGGGAGCCTGCCAGCGGCTGGAGGGAAGCCTGGGTCCCAGATGCCATAGGGAAGCTGGTGCCAGAAGCCGGAGGAAGGAAGATGTACTCTTGAATGAATTTCATGCATCGGGCCTCTAGTGTAACCATAAAATGATTAACCTTTCTTAAAAGACAATATATTATGTTGTAAGCACTGTTCCTAAGCAAGTTGTGTCAAAGCTTACTATTTGTCTTTTCTGTGTTTGCAATTCTGCACTGAATATACTGATAAATATGTGGAAGATCTTCTGTTTGATCTTCTCTCATGAATCATGCTGACTCATCCTTTCTCACTCTATTTAAGAAATACACTGGAAGTTGCCCTAACTAGGATTAATATTTTATGCTTTATTGTACTCTTCTTTTAAAAATGTCATACTCTATTCCACAATAAATATATCTTAGTGTTACTAATGAGTGCTTATTTGCAGCCTCTGCACCTTTTCCACAATGTTTGGAACATATTTCTCTCATAATTTCTAACAGTTTTATAAATTCATTAAATTTGTAGTTTTTCCACAGCATAAATACTCTGATAAGCAATGGCATTTAAATTCTCTCCAAAGGCTTTCCAACACCAAGGCACAGTTTTGCCACTTTTGAATTCTTTGATATACAATTTTCCATGCATGCATAAGAATTCTGGGTGAAATATTGATCATATTTATTATATGCTTCTGCAATTATACTTTTTATTAAGTTAAATGAACATTAAATACTATATGAAGAATTTCTGACCTTTAAGAGTTACTCCCGAGGATGAATTGATATACAATGAAGTATAACTGCTAGTGATGTTACCCCACTCTTAAGTATATTAAGAGGTTTTATCTCCTGAATGACTTCTCTGATGTTTAATGAGAGTTGACTTCCCACTGAAGGCTTTGCTACATTCTTTGCATTCATAGGGTTTCTCTCCTGTATGAGTTCTATGATGTACAATGAGAGTTGATTTCACACGGGAAGCCTTCCCACATTCGCTACACTCATATGGTTTTTCCCCTGTATGAATTCTGTGATGTTTAATGAGAGTTGACTTCCTACTAAAGGCTTTCCCACAGTCACTGCAGTCATAGGGTCTCTCTCCTGTATGAATTCTCTGGTGTTTAATCAGTGGTGACTTCTCACTGAAGGCTTTCCCACATTCACTGCATTTATAGGGTTTTTCTCCTGTATGAGTTCTTTGATGTACAATAAGGGTCGATTTCTCACCAAAGGCTTTCCCACATCTTCTGCATTCATGAGGTCTCTCTCTTGTATGAGTTCTATGATGTACAGAGAGGTGTGATTTTCCACTGAAAGTCTTCTCACATATGCTACATTCATAGGGTTTTTCTCCTGTGTGAATTTTCTGATGAACAGAGAGGTCTGACTTTCCTCTGAAGCTTTTTGCTGGAGTCCATTCATTGTCTTCACTAGCTGAGTTTAGACAGAGACCCCCCTTTTTCCACATTCGTTACACTCAAAAGTTTTCTCTTTTGTATGCATTCTCTGATGTTTAATGGGGGTGGGTTTCTTAGAAAAGGTTTTCCTGTGTTTATTGCATTCAGGTTTCTCACCCATCTGAGTCCTCTGATGCATAAGGCTTGACTTACCACGTTTGATACCGTCATAAAATGCTTGTCTAATGTGTGTTTTTTCATGTCTAATAAGGTGATATGAACTCTTAAAAGTTTTTGTACATTCACCATATACAAATGGTTTCTCTCCTGTATGAGTTCGCTGATGTTTAATTAGAGTTGACTTCTGGATAAAGGTTTTCCCACATTCATTGCATTCATAGGGCTTCTCCCCTGTATGAGTTCTCTGGTGTGCAATGAGGGTTGACTTCTGGCTGAAGGCTTTCGCACATTCACAGCATTCATAAGGTTTCTCTCCAGTGTGAGTTCTCTGATGTACAGCAAGGTTTCCTTTCTGGATAAATGCTTTTCCACAGTCAGAACATTCATAGGGTTTCTCCCCAGTTTGAATTTTCTGACTTTTAAGGGCTTGCTTATGGTGGAAGGCTTTTCCATGGTGTTTAGGTTCAAAGATTTTCTCTCCAGGTTGAGCTTTATCAAGATTAGAACAGAAGCATAATTTCCAATATGCCTGATATTCATCATTTTTATTTTTTCCATAGCTTCTATTTTGACTAAGAAAGTTCAAATTATGTTTTGAACATCTTTCCCATGAATAATATTTAAGGAGTCTTTGTCTTATAGGAACGAAGTCTGTGCTGGGATAAATAATTTTTCCGCATGTTCTTATTTCTTGGTCACTCGCATCCTTCAGAGTTTCCTGGTGTATAAATGTAGCTTGCCACAGAGATTTATCTTGGCTTTCCTTGTGGTTATCTTTCTGGTCATCAACTTTCCAGAATTCTAGGGGGAAAAATGCAATAAATCATCAAACTTGTAAATGCTCCTACTACAATGTTCTAGGATAAAATTAATTCATAAACATCCCACTGAGAATTCCTATCAATAGATTTGAGCTGATGTGGATGGACCCTCCCTATGCTCCTCCACCACTACCAAATGAAAAGGCAAAGAAATGCTGGCTCATATTTAACAAAAATAATTTAAAACACAGTCAAGCTCAAAATCAAGAAAATAAACTTATTACATGTGAAAAGTGAAGTGGGAATTTAAAGTGGTGGGATGAACAGAAATTGAAGCTTGAGGATTTGCAGGGGACTCCAGACAATAGGGCACAAATGTTCAGGAATGTAATTTGCGCTTAAAGCTGGAATCACAAGGTGTTTCCATGCTTGTTTAACAGGAACTAGAAGGACTCCCCACTGGTCAAGGAAATTGAAAATAAGGATATTATCTATATAATAAAAGCCTAAGCGACTCTTATGGCAGAACGACCAGAACCAGTCGCTATGATGTGCACTGACCACCAGGGAGCAGGTGCAGGAGCTGCCCCCGGGTGATCAGTGCACTCCTACAGGGGGAGCACTGCTCAGCCAGAAGTCAGGCTCACGGCTGTCAAGTGTAGTGGTGGTGGTGGTAAGGAGCAGTGAGCAGGCGGGTGGTAAAGATTGAGGGGTCCCGGACTGCAAGAGGGTGCAGACTGGGCTGAGGGACCCCCCCCCCAGTGCATACTGGGCCTCTATTGTATAAGAAACAAAAACCCTAGTTCTTTAACCCAATTCAAGTGATTATCAGTGTAGTACAGCAATAACAATCTGAAAAATTAACCTGAAAATTGGTCCTGTTATTAGTAGCAATGGCAAACTTTCCAACAATGTACATACCCTATATTGTTATGTTTTTATAGTTTAGGGCTCACAGTCTATCTATGGAAAACCAATTCTCACTGAAGAGCTCACAGTAAGCAATTAAAAACCTCACAAGGAAATGAATCATTGTGAGAGAGAATTAGCAGGTACATTTAAAGATACTCCCACATTCCTAGAAATATAACTAGTAGAAACATATGGATTTTAAAATAAATACATTTTAAGTATACAAAAAAATCAGGTAAGAATTGGACTATGGGTTGAAAAATAGGAAATTTTTGGGAATCCTATATAATAAAAGGGTAATATGCAGATTGACCCTAACAGCAGAACGACTGGGAATGACTGGTCACTATGACACACACTGACCACCAGGGGGCAGACGCTCAATGCAGGAGCTGCCCCCTGGTGGTCAGTGCGCTCCCACAGGGGGAGCTCTGCTCAGCCACAAGCCAGGCTGATGGCTGCCAGTACAGTGGTGCTGGCGGGAGCCTCTCCCGCCTCCTCAGCAGCGCTAAGGATGTCCGACTGCAGCTTAGGCCTGCTCCCTGCTGGCAAGTGGACATCCCACGAGGGCTCCCAGGCTGCCAGAGGGCTGTCTGACTGCCAGCTTTGGCCCGATCCCCCTGGGGAGCGGGCTTAAGCCAGCAGGTGGACATCTCCAGAGGGGGTCCCAGACTGTGAGAGGGCACAGGCTGGGCTAAGGGACCCCCCTGAGTGCACAAATTTTTGTGCACCGGGCCTCTAGTATAAATATAAAAGAATATATAGGTGTTAAACTAGAGAGGTTGAACTAGTCACAGATAAAGACAGATTTAATGAATTAGATGACAGCTTGAGAAATAACACAAAAAATGTAGCATAAAGAGCTAACAAAATAGAAATATGTTAAGAGAAATAGAGAAATGATAAGTTTCAACATAAGTTTAATATAAAATCCAAATGGAAGAATAGAGAAAATGGAGAGAGGCAATATGCCAAGACATAGGTTTACAAAGAAGCCTTGAGAATGCTATACTTAGGAAGACCTCCTTGGGAGGTTGGCCCTTGGCTGACATTTGGAGTTCAGGAATGTCCCCACCATTCCCTAAGAGATAAGGCTGCTCGTACAAACCCTGTGATTTATGCTGAACATTTCCTTTCCTTCTGGGAGTCTGGCATTTTGGTATGTGCTAAGCCAAGTTTGTGTATCTGACCAGCCTCTAAGAAAATCTGAGGGTGGTGAGCCTCTAATAGTCTTCCCTGGGCATAAACATCACACAGGTTGCTGAATTTCACTACTAGGAGAAGTGTGCCCTGTGTGACCTTTCATGGGAGAGAGAAAGCATAAGGGATACTATACATGAATTCCTCCAGAATCTATTACTGTTTTTCCCCTTATGATCTAATTATATATGCTCACTTCATTGTTGTAATAAATTTTAGCTGTAAGTACAACTATATGCTGATTCCCATGCATCCTTCTCAAGAATATCTGAATCTGGTAGTGATCTTAAGAGCCCCTATCTAGGTTAAAAAAAAACAAAAGAGCAAAAATATTAAAGAATATTTTCAAAGTCCTAAGGGAAGCTACATTTTATAACTCTATTCCTAGATAAATTATTTCAAAGAAAGATGACAAATATAGACATTTTTGGACAAGAAAAGACAGAGAATTTACCACAGCATGGCTAAGAATAATGCTTGGTACTTGAAATATTCAGGAGGAAGATGGCCAAAGGGGAAAAGGGCGGTAAAGAAAATACAGCAAAAGCAGAAAAAAAGAGGTAAAGAAAAAGCAGGCTATATAGAAAATACAAACAAGTAAGAAATACAAATATAGTAATAGCATAATAAATAAATATTAACTAAAAGCTGACCATATTAAATTGTATTTTTAAACATTAGCTCTTTGCTTTCGAAAGACAATTAGAACAAAATGAGAGAGAAATGTTGAAAATAACATTATAGTAAAACAATGCTTAAGATTATACAAAACAGAATGAACTTAATGCCAAAAGCAAATAAGGTCAGAATATGAGCATATTATAAAGAAATTTCATTTACATAGATGCAAAACTCTTAAGCACACAAGGCAAATTGAACTTATTTATGAGAGAAAAGACATAATACACCTAGTGATATTGAAAATGTACATACCCTACCAGGTATTCCACTTGTAGTTACACCATAGACAAATTCTGCAAATGTGAGTCGGGATACATGTACAAGAAGGGCAACAAAGTATTAGAAACAACCAAATGCTCACCAATAGAGGTATGGATTAATGAACTGTGATACTCAGACATTGGCATGCTATACAAGAGTTAAAATGAATGAACTAGTAAATATAACATATCAGCATAGGTAAAGCTCAAAGTGCAACACTGAATACAGAAAGCAAGTTGTAGAAAGACGCTTATTGTTTGAGAACACTAATCTGGTAAATTTACAAAAAGAATGTTATATTAATGATAGATATGTAGTAAAAGTATAAAAACAAGGATTAGAAGGATACTCACCATATTCGTGATATTGTTTGTCCAGGGAGGGAATGAGGGGAGCAGGACTCAAGAGGGGAAAAGGGGGAAAGATTTCCCTTTAAATGAAGTTCATAGTTTTCACTACTACACGAAATTAGACTTTTTAAAAACTAAAATGAGATTACCACTGACCCTCAAAAATAAAAAGGATAATAAGGGAATATTATGAACAACTATATGCCAATAAATTTGACAATTTAGGTAAAATGAACAAATTCCTTGAAAGGTACAAATTACCAAATTAATTCAAGAATAATCTGAATAACCCAATATCTACTAAAGAAATTGAAATTGTAACTTAATACCTTCCCACAAAGAAAACTCCAATCCCAGATGCCTTCACTAGAGAATTCTATCAAACATTTAAGTAAAAACTAATACCAATTTTACACAAATTCTTCCAAAGAACTGAAGAGATGCAGGAATACTTCCAACTCATCTATGACTTCATTATCTTGATTGTGGTGATAGATTCATGGGTGTGTACATGTCAAAACTTATCAAATTATACACTTTAAATATGTGCAATTTCTTGTATGTCAATTATACAATAAAGGTGTTAAAATAGCTAGATCAGTTCTTAAAGACTGTCATAGCATTTGCAATGATCATATTCGAAAAATAAGCTATCAAATTAATTATCTAAGCTTCTACCTTATGAAACCAGGAAAAGAGAAAATTAAATTCAAACTAGCAAAAGGACAGAGATAAAGATAAACCTAGAATTAATGAATTTGAGGTTTCTATGTCTGGCTACAATGAAGTATGTCTATTGATTATTTCAACTAAAAACTTTGGACAAAATATGTAAAGCAACTCCTTGAGGATTCTAACAAGTAAACAAAAGCGGGGAGACTTGAAGGTGAACCAGAAAGTGGAAAAGCAGCCCGTACATCACTCAGTTTTTTTTCACAAAACTTTGTCCCAATGGCATATGAATCTCCCTAAGACATGAGCTCATCCAAGAGATGTGCATGCAAGGAAAGCAAAGCTTCATACAAAAGCTTTAAGAACTGAACTAAACTAAGATTTAAACCCCAGCTCAAGTCTGAGACCAACACCTGAGTAACACGTGTGTGAGACAGACCTAAAGCAGGACAGTGAAGGCTTTGAAAATTGTACCAAGACTTAAACCATCACTCAAGTCTTACATTAACTCTTGAAAGGTTCATACACAACACAGATCCAAAGGAGCACAGTGAAGGCTTTGAAAACTGAATTGACTGTAACCAACACCCTCGGATGGTGAGATGAAACTGGTGGTCTGAATCTAACCAGGTTAATTACATGATAAATGAATATTAAAACAACAAAATAATCACCAGTATCTACAATAGAATCCAAAATTATCCAACATAAAGAACCAGCAAATTAAAGAAACTAAAAATAAAAATTTTTTAAAAGTTGCGAAGGCGCTGGGGAGCAGAAGGCCAATGTGTAATTGAGCTAAATCCTTGTCTTTCACAGAAGGGTGGCAAAACTAAACACTCCCAAGAATTAAAAACAGAAATCCTGAAAAGAGGCTGCACTTGGAAGTGTGACTAGAAACACACTAGGATTACTCTGAATAACATACTGTTCAGAACTCCTACATAACATGAGCCTCCACTACTTTTAATATCTTACTAAAGGCCCAGTACACGAAATTCGTGCAGGGGTAGGGTCCCTAAGCCTGGCCGGTGATCAGGACTGATCTGTGGTGCAACTGGCGGGGTGGTCTGGGGGACCCCCACTGGCACCCACATTGGCTGGCCTGGTGCCACCCACTTGCCAGCCCTGCCCCCCCCCCCCCCCCCGCTGCTGCAGGTCACCTCCCTCTGTGGGGCAATGCAGAGCAATCTGGTGGAGGGTGGGCGCTGGCACTTGCCTTGGCTGGCCTGGGGCCTGCAGGCTGGGGTCAGCTCCTACGTTGAGCGTCTGCCCTCTGGTGGTCAGTGCGCATCATAGCGACTGGTCATTCCACCAGTTGTTCTGCTGTTCGGTCGATTTGCATATTAGGCTTTTGTTATATAGGAAGGAAGGATACTTTTAAAAAATATTTTCATTGATTTTAGAGAGAAACATTGATCCATGTCCTCGCATATGCCCCTGGACCTGGAATCGAACCCAAAACTTGGGTATGTGCCGAGGAATAGAACCGGTGAACTTTTAGTGCACAGGATTATGCTTAACCAACTGAGCTACACCAGCCAGGGCAATATTGTATGCTTTTTATATAAGGGAATCAGAACTCCAAGGCTGGACTGTGCCTTTAGTTTGCTTTCCCTCCTTCCAGGATAAGTTGAGTGGGAAGGAAGTACTGATAAGAGGAGGAATATGAAATAAGAATGAACTCACAGTCATTATAATCCCTGGAAACATTGGAAGTAGGAAAAGGCATGCCATTAGTAGACTGGAACTCCCAGTGAATCTCTACAAGGCAGTAGATATGGGAATGACTGAGCAATGAAGAGGAAATTGTAGCCCAAAATGTCCCTGGGAGAAGCTACAGAGTGGTGGGTGTACGTCTGCACAGGAAGGTTCTGAGGGAGAGGTTGCCTCTGCCCAGTAGGCATGGGCTCTGGGAAAGGCACCCAGGAGTCACTTGGGATCAGCCAGGTCAGTATCTGACTATGGCTGTAGCTCTGACACTAATTTTCACAGCAAATTCAGATTCAGTCAATTTGAGGTGCATTTCTACTTAGAGCCCAGGCCTTGACCATGTTGCTAGTCCATGAACCACACTGAATAGTAGCAGAATTCTAGACCAGTGATGGTGAACCTATGACACGCGTGTCAGAGGTGACACGCGAACTCATTTTTTTGGTTGATTTTTCTTTGTTAAATGGCATTTAAATATATAAAATAAATATCAAAAATATAAGTCTTTGTTTTACTATGGTTGCAAATATCAAAAAATTTCTATATGTGACACGGCACCAGAGTTGAGTTAGGGTTTTTCAAAATGCTGACACGCCGAGCTCAAAAGGTTCGCCATCACTGTTCTAGACAGACTTATTTGGAGTAGGCACACTGAGTGGCCACTGTGAGTGGGGGAGAAAGAGGAAAACTAACATCTGAAGAGTGTCTGAATCCCCATTAGGGGTGCAGAGCAAAAACAAACAGATAAAGAAAAAAAATAGCAGCTCTGTCCAGGACTGAGGTATGGATCACTGAAGCTTGCCACCATAAAGTAATGTCCTCTCCAGTTTTTAGTTCTTTTTTTTTAATAAACAGATAATACAAAAGACAAAAGAGTTGAGTGGGAAGGAAGTACTGATAAGAGGAGGAATATGAAAACCAGCAGTCACAAGTCAGTTTTGGAAGAGTCTGAGAGGAAATAAGAAGAGAAAATAGAGACCTGTGTGAATGTTGACACTGTTCACTCACACCGTGAGGGCAGGAAAAGACAAGTGGGTACCTAGTCTGATAGAGTTGGAGGTCATTAGCAAAGCTTTTTGTCCACACTGATTCTATTAAACCAGGTAGGATCATTTCCCTGAGGTTGAAGACAAGACTCCAAGTTTCAGACTCAAAGGGCCCACCATATAGCAAATAAAGAGGAAACATCACACCTGCATCTACTTCTATTCTGATGAAAATATAAATGCTCAAGAGGGGGAAAGCCCTGAAGGTGCCAGAAAAGATGAAGAAAAGGCTTAGCACTTCTCACTAGGCAACCAGTGTATGGGGGGCATCCTGTGGATATCACAGCAACTCATTTCAATCTGAGTCCTGTCCTTAAGGCTAGGGCTCTGAGAAGAGCTCAAGGGCATGCCCAAGGCCAAGCTCTCACTGCTCTACTGTGTTCTCCTGGCCCTGTCCTGACTGGCAGGCACATGCTCACCTGGACAGCTCTGTATTATGGGTTCTCCATCTTCCCTCCTGGCCTCTTCTCCTTGTCCGAACCTGAAGATCACATCTGGTGTATCCACCAGGTAGCCTGTGGAGGTGAAATGACACAGGACTTTATTATTAATGCTGGAGGCAGTCTAGAACCGAGGCCCATCCTTGCAGGGTGAAGATGGTCTGGCCTCGGTGACCGTCCCATGAGCACAGCTATTTTCCCCTCATGCAGAACATGCACATAGAAAGCAAGAGCACAAACATACTGTGCCGGGTGCAAACAGGAGTATGAATTCTTGACAGTGAGCCTTAGGCCTGAACTCATTCAGGGCTTCAGACACCCCTGAGCATGCAGCAGCCGAGAGAGGGAGACATGAGTAGGGGTATTCTAGCCACACCATGGAGCAGTCCCTCACCCACAGAGACCACGTGGCCGTAGTTCTCCAGCATGACATCCCTGTAGAGGTTCTTCTGAGAAAAGTCCAGTTGCTGCCACTCCTCCAAGGTGAAGTCCACAAACACATCTCTGAAGGTCAATGATTCCTACAACAGCACATTTTTCTCTAGCCCAGAGTGATGCGCTCGGGGGACTGGATATATATGACTTGTATCAACTGCCTACTCGGTGCCTATCCTAAGTATTTCGATCCTTGCTCCCATCCAGAACCCTGACAGATGAAGACAGTGAGGCACACACAGTGCAAAGTTACTCACCCCAGGTCACGCACCTAGGAATTAGGGATTAAAACCCAAGTGGTCTGGTTTCCACACCCACATTTTTTTTTTGTTAATCCTTAGCAGAGGATATTTTTTCCATTGCTTTTCAGAGAGAGTGGAAGGGAGGGAGGGAGAGAGGGGGAAGAGAGAGAGAGAGAGAGAGAGAGAGAGGTGAGAGACACATTGGTTGGTTGCCTCCCACCTGCACCCCAACCCAGGGCCGGGAGTGAACCTACAACCCAGGTGCCTGTCCTTGACTGGGAATCGAACCTGCCACCCTTTGGTGCACAGGCTGATGCTCTAACCACTGAGAACACTGGCCAGGTCTCCACATCTACATTTTAACACAGCACACTGCATTGCCTTCCTCTATATAATTGTCCTTATGCTGTTCACTATCCACAATTTGACATAGTATAGGATATAAAGTGTTTATGTAACAAAGTTATTTTAAGCTTTAGGAAAAAACAGATCTTACCCTGGAAATTCATTCTTTCAACCCATATTTATTGAATAGTGACCAAGCAGTTAAGTTCCAAGGATGTGAAGATTAATAAAAATAAACACCTCCTGAACAGAAGGAGCTTCAGCATAGCAGAGGTAAAAGAACAACAGAAACTCATATATGAGAGAGAGGGAGGGAGAAAGAGAAGGAAGGAGGGAGGGAGGAAGGGAGGGAAGGAGGGTGGGAGGGAAGGATGGAGGGAGGGAAAGTGAGAGAGAAGGAGGGTTGTCAGCCCTCAGAGGACAGTGACAGAGAAGACTATGAACAGAGGAGAGGAAGACGTAAATTCTCCTTGGGGCTGACACAGAAGACTTCACAGAGACTACAGAACTAGAACGGTTCTAAATGCAGCTACTCAATCATGACTGTGAGATAAGAGAAAATATATATTTGGTATCTGCTCCCTGGTTCCTGGCACAGAGCTCTTAAAACCCTTATCATTTCCTAAATGATAAAATCACTAGGAACACCTTTTGTTCTAAAGAGGTGACTCTTGATTGACTCCTGAATGGGGGGCTGGTCACTAGAAAGACCAAGCCATGATTAGAAGCTTGGAATTTTCAGCCCCAACCACCATCCTCCAGAGAAAGGACCAGGGCTGGAAATGGAGTTAATAATTGAGTGTATGTATGAGGGGAGGCCTTGAAGAAATTCCTATAGTAAGGGATTCAGGGAGCTTCCAGGTGGGTGGACATACCCACATACAGGGAGGGTGACACCACCACCCCAACTCCATGAGGACAGAAGCTTCTGCACTCAGAACCCTCCCAGGCCTCACCCTATGTAGCTCTTCTTCTGGAAGCTCATCTGTATCCTTTATCATAGCCTATGTTTCCCTGAGTTCTGTGAGGTACTCTAGCAAATTAACCAAGGTGGGGAGTCACTGGAACCTCTGGGATCTATAGCTGCTTGGTCAGAAACACAGGTGTGGTGGGCAGTTTTGTGGGACTGAGCCCTTAACTTGTGGGATCTGATGCTATCTTCAGGTAGTTAGTGATAAAAATAGATACAGAAGCAGAGCAACATCGAACAGACTGTCAAACTACTGCGGGAAGGCCGGGGAGGGTTGGTGGTGGTGGGGGGGGGGGGGTAAGAGATCAACCGAAGGACTTGTATACATGCATATAAGCATAACCAATGGACACAGACACTAGCGGGTAGGGGAGGCCAGGGGAAGGTCAAGGGGGAAAAAAAAGGATACATATAAGACCACCAAGTGTTGGTGTGACAGTATAGGATCCGGAGTGTAAATAAATGGGTTATTGGTCTCTGACAGGAATCCGGGCACTTAGAAGAGTGAGTTTTTGTTTGGTGGTGACAAGCCAAACATAGACCTTCCTTTGTTTACCTCAATCTGCTGACCAGGCCAGACACAGACCCTCCGGCTTCCTGGTTTTTGGTGTGTGTGTGTGTGTGTGTGTGTGTGTGTGTGTACAACCCTGGGTGATTTTGTCTTCCAGGGAATAGTTGGCAATGCCTGTAAAGTATTGTAATACTTTAAGCAATAAGAAATAAAATAAAGGCCCTAACCGGTTTGGCTCAGTGGATAGAGCATCGGCCTGCGGACTCAAGGGTCCCAGGTTCGATTCTGGCCAAGGGCATGTACCTTGGTTGCAGGCACATCCCCTGTAGGAGGTGTGCAGGAGGCAGCTGATGGATGTTTCTCTCTCCTCGATGTTTCTAGCTCTCTATCCCTCTCCCTTCCTCTCTGTAAAAAATCAATAAAAATATTTTTTAAAAAAGAAAGAAAGAAAATAAAGATTGATTTGTGGTCACACACAAAAAAACCAAAATAAAAAATAAAATATATTGGAGAATGTAAAAAAAAAAAAATTTGAGTTAGACTGTAGGATACCCAGTGACAAAGAAGTGCTTGCTGTGGGGGAAAACTTCCACACATTTGGTGACCAGAAGTGGCAGAAGGGAAGTGTTCTGTGTGAATAGTGAAAGAGACACAAAAAGGAGAAATACAGGAAAGAAAGACATGGTGCGGAAGAACTGGCTTTTCCCTTATCCAGAAGGGACTCAATGGGTTTTTCCTTCATAACGACCAAGGGTTCTACTCTTAGCTAATCAATCATAAACACACACACACACACACACACACACACACACACACCCCAAAAACCAGGAAGCCGGAGGGTCTGTGTCTGGCCTGGTCAGCAGATTGAGGTAAACAAAGGAAGGTCTATGCTTGGCTTGTCACCACCAAACAAAAACTCACTTTTCTAAGTGCCCGGATTCCTGTCAGAGACCAATAACCCATTTATTTACACTCTGGATCCTATACTGTCACACCAACACTTGGTGGTCTTGAATTCAAGGAAACATTTTGCACCCACAGGGCTCCAATAGGCATTCCATGGCATCAGTTTTACTTAGCTCTGCAGAAGAAGGAGACAGGAAGCAGGAGTTCTCAGAACAGCTCACCCTCTCCTCTCACTCCTTCCAAATGATAGCTCAGTTGCTAGGGACCATGACCTCACTAGAGAAGAGAGGGGGCCACCTGGCTTAGAAGCCCTAAACTGTCAAAATTTAACATTCACAGCCTTTGACCTAGAATTCTCACCTCTAGAAAGTTATCTACCAGGTCAGATATGGCTACGAACTGAAATGTACATGGATATGTATTGCTATGTTGTTTATGGCATCAAAACATCCTAAATGTACATCACAGAAGGTAAGTATGTAATGGTATTTCCAGGCAGTGGGGTATCAATCAGCCACTTTGTAAATGGGGTACAACCCTGGGTGATTTTGTCTTCCAGGGAATAGTTGGCAATGCCTGTAAAAATTTTTCATTGCCATGTGGGGTGGGGTGCTGACATCAAGAGGGTAGAAGTCAGCGATGTTGCTGAATATCTCCAATGTATACTCAAGCTCCCTACAATATAGCATTATCTGGCCTAAAATGTCAAGAGTACCAATTTGAGAAAACCTGGGGCTGGCCAAATACAGTGAAGGGAAAATGATCATGAAAAGTACCAGAATGTGCTGTAATATATGAAAAAAGATTTTTATTTCAGGATAGGTACATATGCATACCTGATATCTAGAAGAATGTATAAAAATGAAGGAGATGAGGGGACAGGGGAACAGGAAGAATTCTTTTTCACCTTTTGTTAAAGAATGCTTTTGTTTGAATTTTTATCATATGTACAAATTACTTTTTAAAATGCTCGATTCAATGCATTAATACTCTATTTAGAATATGTTTTTAGAAATTTAGTATGCATATGCTTAAGTAAAAATGGTCTATGATTTACATCGTAGTATCTTCTTCAAATGTAAGGTTAAGGGGCTTCATAAAATGAATTGAATTCTTTTTTATCTTTCAAGAGCCTGGAAAAGTTGAACATAGAAATGACCTGGCCTTTAAAATTTTGTTAAAGTAGCAATTAACCTAGGATTTGGGAGGGCAAATTTGAAGTGTGAATACCTTTGATTTAAAATTCCAACTTCCAGGTGTATTCTCCATAAATATCTGCACTACTGGATATATACCTAGAAAGTTGTTTAAGAGGCACTGTTCATAAAAGAAGAAGAAAATTAAAAACCTAACTATCCATGAATAGAGAAAAAGTTAAATGATACATCCATACTATAAAATAGGAACTAAAATAATCTTTATGTATTGACTAGAGGCCCAGTGCATAAATTCTTGCATGGGTAGGGTCTGGCTGGCCTACCCCGATCGGGCCAATTGGGCTGGGCTGGCTGGGGGGAAGGGACACGGGAGGTTGGATGGCTGGCCCCACTCCCTGGTCGAACTCCCTGTCGAGGGGACAATTTGCATATTAACCTTTTATTATATAGGATGAGGAACACCACCTGGAATATATAATCAGATGGGAAAAGCAAGATGGATATGGGAGCTGGATGGCATTGGTGCAAGAACGTGTACGACATTACATATGTATCTGTTTTTAGTTAATTTAACTGATGTAAATGCATCCACACCATGCTATCACCAAACTGTTAACAGCGCGCATCTTGTGGAAGAACTGGAGGGAGAAGAAATGGGACTGTTTTGCCTACTATTTTTCATGAATATTAAAACATTAAGCATGCATTTTCTTTCATTATTTTCAACATAAAGAAAAGGCAAAAGTGAACTGGAAGTGAAGAAATGGAAGAAGCCAGATGATTCTAAGTATTTAAACAATCTTCTCTGAGAAGGAAGAGAAGAAAGATGAGGTGAATTTCTCAGAGGAATAAGATGAGAAAAGTATTTGTCTTTTATCTTTTCTTATTCTTTTTTGGGGGGGAGGGCAAGGATTGGAGAAACCTGAGGTGCACGACAGGTTGAACAGAAAACAGCCAGAGCGGAGGGGATTAACAGATCTTTCAAGGTTACATTATAGATTCTCCAAAGCTGCCTGAAGTTCACTGGAAACAAAGTAGGGGGGAAATGAGGCACTCACCTGAGACATGGCCATTCTGTTCAGCTCTGGACAAAGGATGGAGATCTACAAAGGTAGAATTAGGAAGTTCAAGATCAGTGCAAACAGCCATGAGACCATAATCATCAGCCTAACAATAATCACCCTTGCACCCTGGGTAGAATAATCTGAAAACATGGCCTGGAGCGCCAGTCTATTCCCTTGAGATGTTGCTAAGCACTTGTGGATTTTGCACATGGAATTTTCCCCATTTCCTGGACATATGTATAACTTGTGTTTAAAAACATCTACTCAGAAGCTATTAATAACCTGGTACCTCCTTTTTCTCAATAATTCTATTCCTGGAAATTTATCATAAAAAAACAAATACAAAGAGTACAAAGCTGCAAGGATGTTAGTGTAGTTGTTTCCACCATTCAAAAATTTGGACTCAACTAAACCTCCAGAAAATGGAACTCCATTAAAAAGTAAGAAATACAAATAGAAAAAAAAATACAAATAGTAATACCACATGGGCTTTAAAAATGGTGTGGAATCCTGTTTTCATTTCTTTTTTTTTAAATATACTTCCATTGATTTCAGAGAGGAAGGGAGAGGGGGAGAAAGATAGAAACATCAATGATGAGAGAGAATCATTGATTGACTGCCTCCTGCATGCTCCCTACTGGGGGTCAAGCCCACAACCCAGGCATGTGCCCTGACCGGAATCGAACCTGGGACCCCCCAGTCCCCAGGCTGACACTCTATCCACTGAGCCATCCAGCTAGGGCCTGTTTTCATTTCTTAACATGTTTAAAATCAGGTTACAAAAAGCAACTGCAGTGTGATCCCATTTGTTAAGCAGTATGTGTGTACTAAGGAAGAGCATTCTGGAAGAGCATTTATTGAAATGTTGACAGTTACCTTTGAATGGTGATGCCACCTTTCCTCTTTTGTTTATTTGCATTTCTCAGTTTTGAAAGAATATTAATTACTAGCCAAATAAAAATTAAAAATTATTACAAATCCCCGATTATCACACTGAGCCCTAGAGGTGACAGACCTTGAGCAAAGTCTGGAGGACAGGGATGTCTTGCTGTGGTTTGGAGGAAAAGAGACAAACAAGGGTTAAGAGGGCTGGGAGGAGAGGAGCCCAGCACTGCTCAGTTCCAATGGAGCTGGAAACCACTGACTTTGTCTCCTGCGCCCTCTGCCCTTCATGGGGCTCACCCCACCATCCCTTCCCTCTTTCTCATGATTTTCATTTGATTCCTTGTTGGGCAGTTTTGCAAAGAAAGTTTCAGCCAGGAGCTTTGGTGTGGAATAACCGTTATTACAATCCCCGTGGCAGCATTGAAATAACAGGGTTTAGCACTTATAGCCTAATAAGTCATGCTCTCAGGCCGAGTTACAGTAGCATCAACAGAAGGCAGAACTGGATGGTAGCATACCTAGCAAGGACTCTGAAGTTCCACAAATTTAAAAAAAGGGAAACGCTTCCCCAGCTTCCTAGCTGTGTGACTATGGACAGGCTTTCCGAGCTTTTCTGTTCTTCCTCTCGCTCTATCAAATGAAGATAATCGTAGTACCCACTCATAGGGCATTTACTAGGCACTCAATGAATCCCTCAATAACTCGAACTCCGCAGTCCGCCCCGCAACACACATCGCAGCCCTGCTCTGTCGCTGGACACCTTGCCCGTGAAGCGCTTCCCCAAGTCCGCCTCCCCTTACCTTGCTCGCAGGAACTGACAGCTTCGTGCAGAGAACAACAGGCAGCGGACTCTCACGCCCTCGGGGTCAGGGGTCAGCGGAGCACTTCCGCTCCTGCACCCTGTTACCCCGGAGCCCGCGGTCGGAGCGCGGCGGCGCAAGCGCAGAACCGGTGCGTCCCAGCTTCCCTATCCCCCCACCCGCAATGACCGACATGGCGTCGTTAGGGGACAGTGGATCTGACGTCGTTCTCTGCCACCATTTTCCGCGAGGACTGGGGAGAGGTCTCTGGGCGGCAAGAGGCAAGCGGGCTATTCCGGCGGCCCCTTTCCAAAGTGTCCCCTGGGGACTCTGTGTCCCTCCATCCTCCCAAAGCCACACTATCCACTTCCTTCAGCTCCTCCGAACAAGAACAATAGCGACGCCTGCTGTTCACGGTGCGCAGGGGCCCGGGGCTAGTCCCCCAGAGTCGGGCTGTCCTCTCAGGCTCAGGTGTTAGTGGGCAGGACTCAGGGCCAGTCCTGCAAGGGTCCTGGGGGAGGACCTGGGAGCCGCACTCGGCTGTGGGGAGGGTAGCAACCTACACAAACGAGGGAGAAACTCTGACACCTGGTGCCCTGAACTAAATCCAGCAGTTACAATTCCAGGGACCCAGGAGAATCTGGCTCCTGCTCTTTTGAAAACTCAGCATAGAGTAGCAGACAGCTGTTCTCTCTAATGCCACTGTAGGCACCTGGTAAGTGGTGACAGTTTTCATTGTCTTCCCCACATATTAGGAACAAACTGGCGCCATTGCTGTTCCTGTCCTTACTGTAGGATTTCCCTTTGCCATTTCCTTGCACATGTATGCCTATGCCTGCCACCAACCTTGCCCAGGATCACCACTCATATCTAACTGAAAATGGTTTTTAAATGGCAGTTAGGTTTCTAATTAAGCAAAAATTCCTTGTAAAGGGTAATCCCAACAGACCCAAGTTGCTCAATTTTTAACCTACCTAACATCAAGGGTTGGACTTGTGACAGTTCTGTCCAATAACGAGTAAGTGGAATTATATACAGAGGGCATCTTTCTCAAATAAAACAAGCAAAGCCTGGAAAGGAGTTTTACTTAATCATTAACCTCTTTATTCTCCCTTATTCTTGCTTGGAATGTAGATAATATCTGGGAGTAGGCCAGTGGTCTTGTAAGAACCAGGCAAGAAACATGAGAACAAACTAACAAGTGGTTAAATAGTAACAAACTGAGTCCCTGACAGGATCATTACGCTACTAGTATTATATCAGTCACAGACTGGCTATCAACAGACTCCTTATTAAATGAGCTAATTAAACTTATTGTTTGCCTAGTCAATTGGGAACCAACTTTCTGTTATTTGCAGCTGAAACTATTTCTAACTGATATAGACTGAGATTCAGGAGAACTTGGTTGTAATTCTGATGTGACCACAGTCAAATTTCTGTACAAAAATAAATTGTATTTCTGTATAGCAGCAAAAACACATTTAGAAAATGAAATTAAGAGAAAACAGTTTACCCCTAGTGCCCATGTCTTGATCTCTTGCCATCATTCCCATGAAAATGGAACCAGAGTTTTTTAGATTCTGGGTCTGGGGCTGGAAGAATGCGTGATGAGCATGGTTTTCTTATTCTGCTAGAAAGCAAGATTGCACTTAAAGACTAATGGGATATGTCTAAGGGACAGAGGGGGCATCATGAAGGACCTTCACTAACCACTTTTGAGATCATTTGAACACCACAAAGAACAATAGCTGCAATTTATTGTAATACATTTAATAAACAAAAATCCATGAGTTCATAGTGATACTCTAAAAATGAACAAAAAGATAAAAGGAAAAAAGGAAAAAGCTCTCTTATTGTTTTAAAATGAGTTTCAGATGAACAGAGATGGAGAGTTGCATAAGGAAGATTTACTGAGAAGAAATCATCTGTAAAGGTTAAGGAAGATAGAATTGGACAGAGGGAGAATTAACTTTGCAATGCAGTTACAACTGAGGCCTCAGACAATACTACAGAGAGCTGTGGAGCTGGGATAGCCCTTCAGAATTGTAGTAAATTGAGGAGAACGGGCTGTATGTTTTATTCCAACATCAGATACTCATTGACTACTGCCTGATTCCTGGGCAGGGGTGGGAAGTGAGTGTGTAACCCTGAGTGAAGCAGTTCCCTGTATCTGAGGGCCATTCCCAATGAGAGACATAGCTGTGAATTCAGTAGCTGACTTTCCCAGAAACTGGGGATAATGTACTGGCCCTGAAGAGATCTGAGCAGAGCACCACAGTATTTACTACAGCAATTATTTATAGAAGAATGTCACCTAATAAAGAAAAAAAATATCCTATCTAATAAAAGAGAAACATGGTAATTGGCGTACGACCGCTACCCTTCCCATTGGCTAATCAGGGAAATATGCAAATTAACTGCCAGCCAAGATGGCGGCCGACAGCCAGGCAGCTTGAAACTAACATGAGGCTTGCTTGCTTCAGTGATGGAGGACTCCAATGTTCCCCGCCTGCCGTTGCAGGTCTCTGAGCTGCAACTCTAAGCACCTATGTAACAAATGTAGAAGCTAAACAAAACCCCAGAAACCTGCTTTAGTCCGGGCTTCAGCCAGCAGGATCACAACATTGTAAGCAAAGGCCAGAAACCTACTTTCAGCAGCGGAGGCCTAAGAGCTGGAGCCAAGCCTCAAAGCTAAAGCTGGCCCAGAATAAAAAAAGAAAAAAAGGAGCGGTTGGGAGCTTCAGTCACCCCCAGCCTGAAAACAGCCCTCAGCCCCTCACCCAGACTGGCCAGGCACCCCAGTGGGGACCCCCACCCTGAAGGGTGTGTGACCAGCTGCAAACAGCCATCATCCCCTCACCCAGGCTGGCCAGGCACCCCAGTGGGGACCCCCACCCTGATCCAGGACACCCTTCAGGGCAAACCAGCCAGCACCCACCCGCGCACCAGGCCTCTATTCTATATAGTAAAAGGGTAATATGCCTCCCAGCACTGGGATCAGCGTGACAGGGGGCAGCGCCCAAATCCCCTGATCGCCCTGCAGCTCTGTGTGTGACAGGGGGCGGGGCCACAACCTCCCTATCCGCCCTGCTCTGTTCCTGACAGGGGAAGGCGCCCCAACCCCCTGATCGCCCTGCAGCTCTGTGTGTGACAGGGTGCGGCGCCCCAACCCCCTGATCGGCCCTGCTCTGTGGGTGATAGAGGGCGGCGCCCCAACCCCCGATGGGCCCTGCTCTGTGCATGACAGGGGGCAGCGCCCCAACCCCCTGATTGGCCCTGCTCTGTGTGTGACAGGGTACAGAGCCCCAACCCCCCTGATGGGCCCTGCTCTGTGAGTGACAGGGGGCAGTGCCCCAACCCCCTGATTGGCCCTGCTCTGTGCGTGACAGGGTGGCACCGCAACCTCCCCATCGACCCTGCCTTGAGTGTGACAGGGGATGGTGCCCCAACCCCCCAATCGGCTCTACCCTGAGTGTGACTGAGGGTGGCATCACAACCTCCCGATTGCCCTGCTCTGTGCATGACAGGGGGCGGCGCCCCAACTCCCCAATCGGCCCTGCTCTGAGCCCGACCAGGGGCTGCACCTAGGGATTGGGCCTGCCCTCTGCCACCTGGGAGCAGGCCTAAGCCAGCAGGTCGTTATCTCCCAAGGGGTCCCAGACTGCGAGAGGTCACAGGCTGGGCTGAGGGACAACCCCCCCACCCGAGTGCACAAATTTTTGTGCACCGGGCCTCTAGTCCTATATAATAAAAGAGAAACATGTAAATTGACCATCCCTCCACTACACTCACCAGCCAATCAGGAGAGTATGCAAATTAACCCAACAAAGATGGTGGGTTAATTTGCATACACAGGTGGCCTGGGAACATCCTTGGGACCCAGGCCACTCCTAGCCTGTAGGCCCGCACATAGGCCCTGAGCAGCTGGGGTCCCAGAACACCCCCAGCCACTCCGTACCTACAGGCACAGGTGCCAAGTGTATGTTCCCACCCCGTAGCCACTTGCATGTGCGCCAGTGCCAAGCAGTGGCCCAGGTCCACGCACCCCAGCCTGGCAGGCCAGGCCAAGCCTCCCTGTGATCATGGGGCTAACAGGCCAGGCCAGGCCTCCCCATGATCCCAGGTGAAGAAGCTGCTCTGCTGACCAGCCTGCACTATAGACTTATTCGGGTGGGTGGCATGGAGTCCGGGGCCTCTAGCCTGCAGCCATGGGAAGTCTCCCTCTCCCCAGAGTTAGGAGTACCGGCCCAGGTCCACCCAGCGGCCTGGTCCTGACTGCGGGGGTGAGTTCCTGCAGGCTGGGGTTTGATCCCTAGGCATTAGCAGTAGGAGACCAGTGCCTTTGTTATTCCTGTGTGTCCGGGTTTTAATTGGACAAAAGCCCGGCAGTCCCAGGCTCTAGCTTAGAAAAATCTTTTAGGAGGAGAATTCTGTCTGGGTTTCCTCAAATTCCCTCAGCCCCTACTCATCCCTCTGTAAAGGTGCAGAACAAGTGAGGCCCCTTAAATAAAAATCAGAGGTTTCCAGCAACGGTGGGCTCTCTCATCACAGTCATTTGGACTGGATGGCATCTGAGTATTTATCTGGCACCATGACAGGGAAACACAAGCTCAAGTCATGATCTCTGCCCTTAAATAATTCACAATCTTATTAGAGCGAGTGGCTGATAAAAGCGCAGTAATGACATCAGAATGTAAGGCAACAATACAGAAAGGAACAGAGGCAATTGCTAGGATGATTTTCCAACAATTAGTACAAAGAGTATGTGCTGTGAATTAAATGAAAAAAATGTGTGTGGAAGTAGCTGCTTCATGAGTATGGGATCCCTTCCTATTTTAAAGGAAACTGAGTTCCATGTGAACTGTGTAATATGCTATGATATCTGAGGCACAGGACAAGGGAGGCCCTAAGGGTACTATGCTTTGATATTTGAGTCATTCTTTATTGTTCAATGTGATTTATTTCTGCACACCTCAGTTTTGTAATAGTTAAATTACTAGAATAATACATCTTGCTATAAAATATTACTAGAAGATCAAATGATCAGGTGACACTTATTGTTATTTTCTATAAATGAACACAATCTCTGGTATGCTAAAGTGATAGGTATTATAGAAATATTCAGACAGGGAGACCTACAGGCTTGATTACAAGTGAGGCTTACTATCACAAACCAAATTTATTGCTTAAAAAAAAAAAAGCACGGAGCCAACTAGAAACTGAACCAAATATAAGCCCTTGAAGGGCAAATGTAAATTGGATAAGCTTTGCTATTACAAGAGCAAGAAGAAAAAATTCAGATGCAAGAATGAGAAGCACATTGCATCCACTC